CAGTATACCTTACATACTACATCAACCACAAACCGGGCGCGGCGAAAACCGGTTCCCCCCCAAACAGCTTCCGGTCTTTTTCTTTATCATATCTTCACCGGATCCCCCTCCTCCCCTCTCGCCCGTTTGGTAACAATAGGAGAGCTAATAGGTCCTTTTTTTTTATGGAAGGGACACTCATGGGGGGACGGAAGGGGGGTGCCTCCCAACCTCCCTGGGGGGCCCCTTTGTGGGACTTGGGGGGGACGGGGTGACGGCTTCCATTAAAAAGGGGGAAACGGGGGGGGGGGGGGGGGTCTTTGTTTGGTGGGGTTTAGGGGGGGACCCCTCAACTTTCCCCCCCCTTTTCTTTTTCTGGGTACCCCCCCCCCCGGGGGGGGGGGGGGGGGGGGGGGGGCGAGGAACTCACATTTCAGCCAGGGCCTCGTGTTGTTTGCTCGCAGGTCCCGGAGGAAGGCGAGCGTGTTCTTGTGCAGCTTCGTGTCGGCGTACTCAACCCCGTCTAGAGGCCGTAGGCCGATCAGTTTCGTAATCGTCACGCGCGGAGCTTCGTCGTCGTCCTCCTCCTCATCCTCGTCATCTTCCTCCTCCGAAAATTCCTTCTCCTTGTATTCGTCCCCGTCTTCTTCCTCCTCGTCCTTGCTTTTCTTGCCCTTTTTCAGTTTTGTCCCGTTTCGCTTTACGATGGGCGACTTAGCCTTGGCTTTGGCCTTCGCCTTGGCCTTAGGGGGTCGTCCGCGCCCGCGCTTCGGCGGCTCGTCCTCAGTCTCCTCGTCCTTTTCGTCTTCTTCATCCTCAGACAAGTCTTCTCCCTTGAAATCAGCGCTCTCGTCGCTCTCGTCATCGAAATACGCGCTCTTCTTGGGCGTACTCGTAGTCCGCCGCGGTCGTCGACGAGGTTCGTCCTCGGGCGGCGAGGCCGCTGCTCTTTTGCGCGCCGGCATGGCCAATGTCGAACCTGTGTCTTGTCAATCAGAAAGGGCGTCAGAATATTCAATGTGAAACCGTAGAGCAGGCGAAATGTCCTGCATCAATGGACCGACTGAGTTGTTCAGTCAGCCAGACAAAAGTGATGTCGTCATAGTCATTTGGACGCGAATCCAACGCGCCATTGACTTGCGCCCAAACGCGATGTCACGTGCTCTTGAAGTACTTGGTCTGGGCAAATGCCGCTGCAATGATATTTGGCCGTGTATCACTTACTTTCTGTCCATGTTGCACATCATGAAATTGTCCAATGTCTGCTCTTTCGTTCATCATAAACCACTGTTTTCAAATCATCAGATTTCGGGCTTACGATCGGCAACGCTCAAGTCGCGCGTTACTGCTGAATACCCATCTTCCAATAAACAGGCAACATAATTCAGATTGTGGCTGCCCTTGCAAGACTGGACACTTCGGGTATCCTTATTATCGCTCCGGCCCAGCAAGTCACCAGGCACCATGACCAACCCATGAATGCTTCCTTCCACTGAAACCACCCTGACCAGAACCTGAACGCCAGCATGCATCAAGTCACATTCCATTTTCAGCCGAGCCCAGCTTCAGCGGCAATCCGTCCCATAGGTGCCCGATCGTGTGGCTTTTCAACCAGGCTTGCGTAGCCATCCAGACTAGACCCCATCACCCGCACCAGATCAAAAATGTGCGTGCCCTTAAACGTCTCAGCCCAGAGGCGGATGACTGCCGCAGCAAGCTGCCTCAGTCTTGTGCTGTCCCCAGCCAAAGCCTCCATGTTCGATGGCGGGTTGGCCGCAGGCCCGCCCAATGAAGGATCAATCGGCACGGCGAACTCGGTTTCGTCGAGCATGCGCCGGATCATTTCAAGAAAGTTCTTTTCATCCGTGGACACTGGCTGGTCGTTTGGCCCAATCGAGGAGAGTGTTAAAAGCCATTTCGAGAGCAGGACGGCGCACTCAAAGTTTCCCACTACCAAACTAGTTAGCGACATGATGCTTTCGGCATAAAGTGTTGGCTTACAGGAATGCTGAATGCTCCATTCCAGCGATTTTGTTCTCGCGACATAATTGACGCCAGCCTTGACGAGCATGGAAAGTGCGTGGATTGCCTGAAACACTGCCTTCTGGAGACGAAGGCTTCGCACTAGAAGAGGCGTGTTGCTGAGTGACGATGCAATCAGCATGTGGTCGCGTGTCTCAAGACTCCTGCTCGGGGTAATGTCGGTATAGAGCCGTATATACGCCAGTCGCAGAAGAGCTGTCGCGTTGAATGCCACTGGACCGCCAGGGAAGGTGTCATTCGGTCCCATGTGTGCTGATTCTGCTGCTCGCAACTGATGTCGATGTTCGAAGCTGGTCTGCCATACTCGCAAGGCTTGAAGTACCTCTTCGACATCGTCTGGCTTGAGACCTCTCTGCGGCTCAAAGGGCGAGCTGAGGGCGAATGAAGTTTGTTTGAGCAAAAACACATGTTGCGTTAGCGCGTGGATGAGAACGTAGTGTCCCAATGAAGTGATGTGCGCAGGAAGGCTCTGGGGCGATCTTCCAAACAACCTTGCAAACGCATCATGCACAGTGATATCCACAGACGGGCATGACTGCCGGGCTTCCTGCCACTGCCATGTTGATTCGGCCCTCCAAAGACGGGATGGGTAGGGCAAGAAAAGACTGAGATCCGAAGTCAACAGCAGTGGCGGCATATTGTACGCTATGCTGCACAGGTTGAAGAAGCAGTAGGCGATCAGTTTTGTGCGCGAAGCGCCCTCTAATCGGACCCAGGTCTCCCAGTCAGGAGCTGCGCCTGGACTCGACTCCGCCGTCAGGCCCTCCTCGCGTACTAAGATTGCGAGATGGCTCTGCAAAGAGAGTGCCTCGTGCAAGATTGCGCTCGCACCCCACAGGCCCACGGCAAAGAGCAGCAGAACAGCCTGGATTGTTTCAAGCCGTGCTTGCGGGGTGTTGGGTGAACTGTAACAGTCAGCGAGGATGAAATATACACGGCCCCAGCCAGTGTGACTTACAAAGGCTCACGGTGAGTGTCTTGCGTCATGGGCCTTTCCTGTTGTGCCGAGGCAAAGGTGTGTCGGAAGCCAGTGCTTGGTGATGGTCTGGTCGAATGGGGGCTGTACGCAGCTGGCGTAGGCAGGAGGGCATGAACCTCGTGGCTGTGTCGCCTTCGGATTTGTTCGAGCGCAACAGCCTTTGCGGCATACCATAATGCGTGGCCTCGATGGCTCTCAAATCGATACTGCGCGCCGACAGCTAGTATCGCCAGCAGCAGCTCGGGCGCGATTTCAGCCGGGGCCAAGGAAGGCAAGTGTAGGAAGGGCAAATACTCGTGGAATCCACTGATGTAGCCTTCGAGAAATCTAGTCAGGGTGTGGCGTGATGGGAAGATGAAATCTGCGGGAAGCACAGAGGAGAACTCATCCAACCGGTTCTTGATTACGTTGTGGTCCACTGCGGATATTCGCAGAGAAGGTGCTCGCATCGGCTCATCGCCACCTCGTGCCTGCCCGTCCATGCCTGAAATTCCGTCCGGCTGAACTGATGGAAAGCGAGACGGGAACTGAGATGCCGGTTTTGACAAGCCGCGCTGGTGCATGTCACCAGCTTGTCTTGGCCACATGCCACCCATCTGCTGGTCAGGCTCGAATGCAGGCGGAAGAAAATGCGAAGACCCGGCAAAGTCATCGAGAAA